TGACAGAAAGAGAAAAGCACCAAGTATATATAAGGAAAATGATTTGGTTGCCATTAAACGGACACAAGGCGGACCTGGTCTGAAGTTTGCTGCGAAATATTTTGGTCCATATCGGATTAAACGAGTTCTTCGGAATGATAGATACATAGTGCAGAAGATTGGCGAAGGAGAAGGTCCTCGTATGACATCCTCGGCGGCGGATCACATGAAGCCTTGAAGCGATTCTTCTGAAGACGCTGTTTTGGAATAGACATCTGAGGCCAGAAGTCGTCGGATAGCCGAGTGTGGGATGGAGCACAGTTTTCTGTCCGCTCCACCCGTTATATTGTTTTGCGAGGGTTTTGATGGACCTTGGCGATGCCCGTGAAAATTCGGGCGTGTTGACGCGATCGCGAGCGACGAGTTAGTCGGGAAAAGACCGTGCGAGCGAACACATGTAAAAGATCGTGACGAATGCCGTCGAGGCCACATATATATATATACATATATACCCATTCCTTCTAAATTCTGTATTCGCGTAAATCCCAATAAAATATCTATATTACATTTTATTTGTGGAAAAACAACCATTTCTGGATTTTCCATCGAACCTAGTCAATTCATATCCCACAAGTAAATTTTTGGGGGCTCGTCCAGGATTACGCATCGGATGGAAGGAGGCGGGTTTGAAGGTGGTGTAATGATGAGCGACGGCGGAACCGCACGGAACGATGGAGCGAGAGACGTTGTGCAGGCGGACGCTATGACGATTGTCCAGCTTAGAAACGAGTTAAGACGACGAAAATTGAGGACGAAGGCAACAAGGCTGATCTGGTGGAGCGGTTTCGGGCGGCGGTGTTTCTCGAGGGTCAGGAAGACGGAGACGAGAGTAGCGACGACGGTGGTGTGCGCGGTCAGGTGGATTGCGAGTCTGGTGATGAGTCGGAGCTCAGTGATGCGTCGGAGGATGGCCGGAGGCAAGGGCCGTCGCAGGAGCCGTTACGGAAACGTGAGAGGTGTTTATTGACATTTAAAGACGTTGAAGATGCTATCGATACATTTAGCGGTGATGATGGCAAGAACGTTAAGCAGTGGATCAGAGATTTTGACGAAACAGCAAGCCTGTGTCAGTGGAACGACGTGCAAAAGACGATATATGTAAGGAGACTTTTGCGTGGATCAGCGAAGCTATTCGTAAAGTATGAAGCACGAGGGAAGACGTGGAAGGATATCAGAACTGCCTTGAAGCGCGAGTTTTCCCAGAAGACCAATAGCCACGATGTACATTTTCAATTACAAAGGAGGAAGAAGAAAACGGATGAGACGTATCACGAATACTGCTATCAGATGTTGGAAATCGCCTCCAGGGCGAAATTGGAAATCAGCGCGGTAATACAATATATAATAGATGGTATAGCGGACGATGAGGTAAATAAAATTAATGATAATCCTTAAGAGTCGCCAGTAATAAATAATGAAAATCTCTCCTCCAATTTTAAAGTCGACCAGACTGGCAATAATTTATTTAAAAAATTATTAGTTAAATTACAACGTTTCGGCTGTCATTGCAGCCCTTTTCAAGTAATCTATGAACAATTATATACATATAAATATACTCTTAATGCGCTTAATCATACAAATAATTATAAATTTACAAAAATATATATGTTTACATACCAGATTAATACAATAAATCAAATTTACAGCAAACCCCCGACAAAATTAACCATTGTTTTGATGAACAATGTATAACTGACAGAAGTGAGCACGAAGAAAAATAGATGTTGACTGTTAGCAGGAAACTTAGTCACTAACGCGTTGAGAAAATAGAAAACCAGAGTACTGTGTCTTTCGCAATTTTTAAAACGTCAATACAAAGTCAAATAAATAAATAAATAAATAAATAAATATGTAACATATGACAATATAATATATTAAATAGCTTCAAGAACGCGATCATAAATCCCACTGAAATTCTCCGTATCTTTTTGTAAATTAATGCTCTTTCTTTGGTTTTTTATATAGAACATTTCTGCTATTTCTCTTTTTCTTGTTTGTTTTTCTTGATGCAGAATCACAGGAGAATCCCAGCGGAACTCATGATCGTTGCAAGTCCGATGCAAACTAACAACTGAGTGTGATGTCGTGTCTTTTTTGATGTTATTTTTATGTTCCTTAATACGTGTTTCTAAATGTCGCTTTGTTTGTCCAATATATGTAGAGTCACAATTCGCACATTCGATCTTATAAACGACATCGGTTCTTTTTAAGTTGTCAATACTATCTTTTCCTCTTTTTATCAATGTGTCTAATTTTTTAGGAACGGTATATAATACACCGATTCCATTTTTGTTTATGCAACGAGTAATATTTTCGCTCAAATCTCTAATATACAGCAACACTATAGCATTTCGTGTATCAAATTTATCTCGATTAGACGCACCAAAATTACCGCCAAATTTAATCGCCCTAAGTCTCCTGTTAATAATTTTGTTTATGACTGTTGACGGGTAACAGTTGTTACGAAGAATTCGTTTGACTAAGATGATGTTTTTTTCGTGAAACATAGGGTCCGCGAGTAAAATAGCCCTGTCCACGAGGCTTGTGATCACACTAATTTTATAACGTAAATAAAATTGTTTTGTACGGCGCGAGAAGTATTTCGGACTTGAAACATAAATTAGATATATACGAAATAATGAAAATTAGATCTAGGCATTCCAAGACGGAGGATCGGAAAAGGAAATTTATACGCGCGGAAAACGATAGTAAGCAAATTGATAAACGGTGTTACATTTGCGGCAATAAAAATCATTTGATCGCGGAATGCCCGGTGAAGGGAAAAGGCGTTAAATGTTTTCGATGCGGCACACACGGACATGTTGCTGCTAAATGTCCTACGGTAGAGAACAAACAGACGAATAAAGAAAAAAACTGTAACGCGACGCAGGGTGAGACAAAAAGTTGTTGTAAAACCGTTGCGATAAACTCGGTCGAGTTATCGGCTTTAATCGACACCGGGAGTGACATCAGTCTGATGCGCGCGGATTCTTATGTTAAAATCGGAGCGCCGGCGTTAATTAAGAGGCAAATGAAATTTCGCGGTGTTGGCTCAGATGAAAATGTAACATTAGGTGAAGTATATGTTAGCGTTTGTGTGGACGGATGTTTTTTCGGCGTAACGTTTCACGTGGTCCCTGATGCGCTGTTGCAGCACGCGATTCTTATCGGAACAGATTTTTTAAATAATGTCGAGTTGCAAGTAAAAGAAGGTGTCGTTAAAATTTCAAAAACTGCTGAAGCATTTTCCGAATTGCCTGCTGTAAACAGGATCGACCTTGGCGATGAAGTAAACGATGTAAACATAGAGCACATTATGGATCGAGAGTGTAAAGACGAAATAAGAGAAATAATATCGAGTTATAAACCCGAGAAAATTCGAGACGTAGGTATCGAGCTAAACATTGTGCTGAAGGACGAGACTCCTGTATACCAGCGTGCTCGTAGGCTGGCTGTACCCGAACAAAGGACGCTTGACGAACAAATACACAGATGGTTAGACGAGGGCATTGTTCAACAATCGTATTCTGATTATGCCAGCCCGGTCGTGCTGGTTAAGAAAAAAAATGGTGCTACGAGAGTATGCGTTGATTATCGGAAACTTAATGAGAAAATAATAAAAACGCGGTATCCTTTACCAATTATAGAGGACCAGATTGATCGTTTGCGAGGAGCTAAAATTTTTAGTACAATAGACCTCGAGAATGGTTTTTTTCATGTTCGCGTGGCGGATGATAGTCGCAAATATACGGCATTTATAGTTCCAAACGGTCACTACGAGTTCTTGCGCATGCCTTTCGGTTTAAGTACGTCGCCAGCATATTTTCAAAAATACGTCAACGCAGTATTTGCTGACTTAGTGGCGAAAAATGTCGTGTCAATATATATGGATGACTTGATTATTCCATCAAAAAATTGTCAAGAAGGGTTATTACACTTAAAAGAAGTATTGCAAGTAGCAAGTTCGTACGGGTTAAGGATAAATTGGAAGAAATGCCAGTTTTTGAAAACTAGAGTAAATTATCTAGGATTTATTATAGAGGACGGAGACGTTACACCTTCCGACGAAAAAACTAACGCGGTAAAATATTTTCCCATACCGAACGATAGAAGAGCGGTGCAAAGCTTTTTAGGGTTGACTGGCTATTTCCGAAGGTTTATCCCGAAATATGCATCTGTTGCACATCCTCTGACCGAATTGTTAAAGGAGGGAGTTAAATTTTTTTTTGGTGACAAAGAAACGCGCGCGTTCGATCAGTTGAAGGAGGCTTTGGCGAGAAGACCTATTTTACGAATCTATTGCCCAAACGCGGAAACGGAGCTGCACACGGACGCCTCGTCACAAGGTTATTGGGGCTATTAAGGGGCTATTTTACTACAAAGAGATAGCGAAGATCGTCTTTTTCATCCGGTGTACTACGCAAGTGGCAAGACCACCGATAGCGAAGCAAAATTTCATAGCTACGAGTTGGAAGTTTTAGCAATTATTAAGGCGTTGCGAAAATTTAGAATTTATTTGATAGGTATACCGTTTAAAATTGTAACAGATTGTCAGGCGTTCGCGCAAACAATGAAGAAGACGGACGTCTGCACGCGGATTGCACGATGGGCTTTGTTCCTGCAGGATTTTCAATATGTTGTCGAACATCGGCCCGGAAAGAGTATGCGACATGTCGATGCGCTCAGTCGAAATGCATTGCCAACTGCAATGCTCATAACGGAATGTCAGGAGGGCATCATTGCAAGGCTGCAAAAAAATCAAGCAGAAGATGAGGAGTTGGTAGGCATCCGAGACCAAGCAATAAGTAACCAAGCGGAGGGATACGTTATTAAAAATGGACTTTTACACAAGAAATTGAACGGAGATACGCTAATTGTAGTTCCAAAGCTAATGCAAAACAATATTATACGACAAGCTCACGAGCGTGGCCATTTCGGTCCAGACAAAACGGAGAAGCTGCTAAAGATGAATTATTGGTTCAAGGGAATGCGTAGTAAGATCGAAAAGATTGTCCGAAATTGTATTAGCTGTATTCTGGCTGAGAGAAAATCTGGAAAACAAGAAGGCTGCTTACATCCTATCCCAAAAGGTGAAAGTCCGCTAGATACGTATCACGTGGATCATTTGGGTCCCCTGCCGTCTACACAAAAGAAGTATCGTCATTTATTCGTAGTAATCGATGCTTTTACAAAATTTGTCTAGTTATACCCCACGAAATCTACAAGCGCAGCCGAAGTATTAGACAGATTGACGCAACAGAGCGCTGTTTTCGGAAATCCGAGAAGGATCATTTCTGATCGAGGAACGGCTTTCACTGCGAATGACTTCGAAACTTATTGTAAAGACGAAAATATTGAGCATATCACTGTCGTTACCGGAGTCCCACGAGGAAACGGGCAAGTTGAGCGGATTAACCGTATTTTGATTCCAATGTTGACAAAGTTGTCAGCACCGAATCCTGCTCAATGGCATAAATATGTAATGAGAACTCAGCGATATCTAAATAGCGTACCTTCGAGAAGCACAGGCGCATCGCCATTTTATCTTTTATTTGGCACGCAAATAAAGACGAAAGAAGATCTCATACTTAAGGATCTTCTTGAAGAAGAAGAAGCTGCGGCATTTTTAGAGAAACGTAGTGAAACGCGACGACAAGCAAAAGAAGCAATCGCTAAAATTCAGGAAGAAATCAAACGGAGCTATGACAGAAAGAGAAAAGCACCAAGTATATATAAGGAAAATGATTTGGTTGCCATTAAACGGACACAAGGCGGACCTGGTCTGAAGTTTGCTGCGAAATATTTTGGTCCATATCGGATTAAACGAGTTCTTCGGAATGATAGATACATAGTGCAGAAGATTGGCGAAGGAGAAGGTCCTCGTATGACATCCTCGGCGGCGGATCACATGAAGCCTTGAAGCGATTCTTCTGAAGACGCTGTTTTGGAATAGACATCTGAGGCCAGAAGTCGTCGGATAGCCGAGTGTGGGATGGAGCACGGTTTTCTGTCCGCTCCACCCGTTATATTGTTTTGCGAGGGTTTTGATGGACCTTGGCGATGCCCGTGAAAATTCGGGCGTGTTGACGCGATCGCGAGCGACGAGTTAGTCGGGAAAAGACCGTGCGAGCGAACACATGTAAAAGATCGTGACGAATGCCGTCGAGGCCACATATATATATATATACCCATTCCTTCTAAATTCTGTATTCGCGTAAATCCCAATAAAATATCTATATTACATTTTATTTGTGGAAAAACAACCATTTCTGGATTTTCCATCAAACCTAGTCAATTCATATCCCACAGTACTATGAAAATTTGGTTTCGCGATCATTGCCTCCGCACCGTACCGTCCGTCCCATTTTGTTAATAATTTTACATCCACATGATTGCGCACATTTTCCATCGTCTTGCCAAATACCGCATTATTCATCAATTTATATAAATTTTTTTCAAAATCGTTTTTCACATGTGTTCTAAACTGCGTGTTGAGTTCGATGTATTTTTGCAGCCACGCTGACTGCGTGAATTGTAGTATGCGATATATTTTTGTTATGCGTAGCCCGTGGCGCGTGCACTGCTGTAGATTACGATAGTGTATCACGTAGCGCTTCTTATCACAAAGCGTTGCGAGGAGTTTATACTCCCGCTTGCCGGGCGGCTTATCGCGCGTCGGGCAAAACGGTAGGTCAATGTGCGTGTCATGAAGATGCTGCGGATACTCTAAATCTACTTCGAGAACATAGCCTATAGGCGAATCGAACGCGATAGATGATACGTCAAAATTCGATATATCGTCGACCCACCGAAAATCGGCATACGGCAATGGTTGACACATTGCCCATCCGTACAAATTATTTACATCGAAATACATGAGGTACGATGAGGGTTTCGATGGGTCGTACGATTGCAAGTACTTGTTATTAGCCTGTGCGTATCGGCCTGAACATTGACTAAGGCCGCCGCGTATACCCCGTTCGACAAACATAACCATGTCAATGTCTGTTAATAATTCAAATTTTATATTCGTATGTTTTAACATGGCGTCCCATGTATATCCGGGGAGAGTATAATAATACGCGGGATCGAGTCCGTAACTTTTTATACAACTATCGCGAAAATTCTCAAATATATTGGCCAATAACAAGACATCAATTTTTAAATATAAATCGCTATATTCGCCTAGCGTTCGAAGGGAGAATCGGCTCCAGACGGTCTCGGCGTGCGCGTAATCACTCTCGGATACTGTGTCGCCGGTTAAGGAACTGTAAAATGAGTCGCGCGGCGGTAAACATGTGTCTTGTAATCTGTCCACGCAGTCTATGTATTCGTACGGAAAGACGCCCTTCCGTGTCAATAAATTGAATTTTTCACTAGTTAAATTTTGATATTCCGAATGTAAAATTTTTAGTTTTTCTTTATCCAAAAATGACGCTAATTTGTCGAGACTAGCGCTGAGAAACTTGTACTGAATCCGCCGCCACTAAGCATGGATTCACCGACATACCGTCTCTGCAAGCGCACCTTTGCACCCTCGAGTCGCGCTATTCTCGCCACCAGAGATTGTCTATGTCCAATCGAGAGACGCGGACGCTTGGCACGGCTGCGTTCTTCCAGCTCTTCGATAAATTCTTCGCACTCTTGCAGCCATCCGAAATATTCGCTCAAGTTAGCAACTTGGCGGAAACGCTCCAACAGGTCGCGCTCAACGTTCTCCATTTTTTGTAAAAAATTCACTTTTTCACACTTATTACAAAAAAAAACTACTTTGCACACTAAACTTTTTTTCTTGCACCTCGAATGAAGCGTGCGCTCGCCAGTGGTACTATGGCCCGGCAGCTGCATCGGTCCTCATTATATATCCCGATCATCCCTTTGTTCGTGGGATGATGATGCAATTGTTAATTCGCGAGAAATATTTGTGCGATATCTACCCGCTGATAATTCTTAGAAATACATAGATAAGGCCGCCCGTTACCTTCCTGGTGTAAATTTCACCCCGTCGCAAGACACGTCAGATCCTGCGCAAACATGTCGCAACCTGTATGGATCATGTATCAACCCGCTTGATTGTCGGCAAACCTTTTGTTCTTAATAATTCGCAGAATTATCTTATCTTATCTTGGATTTTCGGAGAAAATTTAGATATCGCTGTAATAGATATCGCTGTAATAGATATCTTATCTTGGATTTTCAGAGAAAACTTAGATATCCAATTGTCGGCGCTCAGCCTGGATTAAGAAACGGCGGCAGCCATTCGTAGAATTTTTATCTTATCTTATCTTGTTTATGAAAACTTAGATATCGCTCAAAGACGCCGCTTATCTTATCTTGTTTATGAAAACTTAGATACCGCTCAAAGACGCCGCTTATCTTGGATTTTCTGCGAAAACTTAGATACCGCTCAAAGACGCCGCTTATCTTATCTTATCTTGTTTATGAACATATCAGGTAACATGATCCCCTTATCTTATCTTGTTTATAAACATATCAGGTAACATGATCCCCTTATCTCTCTTATCTTGTTTATAAACATATCAGGTAACATGATCCCCTTATCAGGTAATATGATCCCCTTATCAGGTAATCTGATATGTTTATAAACAAAAGATAAGCTTATCTACTGATAAGACCCCCTCCCCCGCGTGACGTCACCCCCCTCGCCCCCGATTCCCCCCGCCCCTCACCCCCCCTCATTGCCCCTGGGTTAGAACTCCCCTAGTATTACTACTGTCACGCAAAGAGCCATAATGAAGATAATTATCCAAAATTGAAGCGAAGGACTGTACGACTACGCAACAATCCAATCAACTTTCTACGGTAGTAGCGGAAGATTCCAATAAGGACTTGTCATCAACAATTGCGTGCGTTCTGAGTTTATAAAGAATTTGTGGGGAAATTTAGTAGATGAATAACCCCCTTAAATAGGATTAGCGTGTCAGAAAATATAAAATAAGCGAAGCCGAAATAACTATTGAAAGACTTTAATGCTGGATAGCACGAAATAAGAATACAGTCTATAAGTAGGTCAAAGAGAGACTTGCAAGACAACACGTTATTGTGTCAGCTGATCCGGCACGACTGCTCGATATCGAACCGTCGCGACAAGAAATCGATCCCTTCCCTGCGCCATCAATCCGCGCGTCTAGTAATTATCTGGTGACTAGTTTGCACGCATCTTAAACCAATTGTCTTATCGTCTACAAATTAGTTACTAATAACTCGTTAACCAGTTCACTGGTAATGACTCATATATGGGCAAAAAAAAGTGCCACATCTGATAATGACTCATATATGAACACTTTGCCAATTTTTAACGAATTTGAATGAAACCTGATATATCCATGTTTTTGGGGTCGCTGATTATGAATCTGGAATCAAATTTGAGAAATTCCTTATGGATTCAATATGGCAGCTAGTAATTAACAGTATTTGATTTGTAATGAACGATTCAAAAGATATTAATCTTAATACATATAGATATTATATAGTATTGAGTGTATAATTTTCAAAATGAAATAACAACATAATGTTTTAATCAAATGAGAAATATTTTTATCGGCTCTCAATATTAAGAATAATATATAAAGAATAATATAATGTTTTAAATTAATTTGTTATCTGTGATCTAAATATCACAGCACAAAACTCGTGTTACAAATCTATCGATATTTTATCGGTGTAAAGTTGCGCATATTGAATCAATCAATCTGAACTGACTAAACATAGTTACATTTTTACGTCTGATGGTATATGTAACCAATATATATATAAGTGACTTGTAAGACCGTGATCATAAGCGATTCAAAGGACAATGAACTTATCGAATTTGATCCTCTCCATTTAAAATTTTGAAATTTCAATCTTAAATTCATCATTAGCGATACCAAAAACCCTTTATAGTTAAATTTCCATATAAAATACGTAATTATTTGCTCTCACCAGTTTTGGCACAAAACGTTAATTTCGGGTGCACCAGTGAACTGGTTAACAGAAGTTATTGAGATTCTAGGAGATAATTGTTCATTATTTGCACTTGTTGATACAGAGAGTCCAATCTCTTTTATTAACGCATTAACAATTACGAAACTTAATAATGCTACTTTGATATTACAGTCGTTACGGACTGCCATGTGCTAGTATTAGCAGACAACAAAGCGAGCATAATCCGCAAATCACTCGTTGGAACATTCTTAAATTCCAAAACTATAAATTCAAGATTATGCATAAAAACGGTAAGAAAATGGCGCATATAGGCGCATTCAGTCAGGTTGTTAATCATATACAAGCTCTTCCCTTTGAAAAGGAACTGATTTACAGACAGGACTCTAAAATTAAATCTGTTGCTATAAAACTCAAATCACAAAATCGAAGACTTCAAGCTTATTGAAGGTCTAGTTTTAAAAAAAAAGTCCCGATAAATCTCGTTTTGTAGTATCAGAATCTGTGATAACAAACGTTATTCGAATATACCACGATGGAATGTCTCACTGTGGAGTCGAGAAAACAGTTCAAGAAATCGGAAATAATTATTGGTCTTTTTGCATTAAGAAAAAAGTTCAGGATTACTAATTGCATTATGTGTTTAATAATTCCAATAAATGTCCAATTCTTCAATAAACGCGCGCAAAGGAGAGATGCAGATTACGGACACCCCTTCTCATCCGTTCAAAATCATGCATGTTGATCATTGCGGGCCCTTAAAGGAATCACTTTCGGATAAAAAATACATTCTAGTTAATCATCATAGAAGCCTTCTCACATTTTACGTGGCTCCTCCCAGTAAAATTGACTGTCTAGAGAAACCATTCAATCGTTATCTAGTTTATTTTTAAACGTATCCCATCGACGTTAATTTCAGATAGAGGAGCCGCTTTCTCCTTACAAGATTTCGCTAACTTTATTAATGATAATAAAATAACATACCACATGATGGCGGTAGCAGCCACTTGAGCTAACAGTCTCGTAGAAAATCAATAGATTTGTTACATCCTTCTTATTATTATTAATATTGAGAGCCGACATATATTTCTTATCTAATTTTATTTACGCCTGGGCCTAATCATGGCGTTATTTACTAACATCTACTAAAAGGCAAATGAAAAATTTAGGATCGAAAGGGTCTGAATAGCTTAGTTAGTAAGAGCAGTTGCCCGGAAAGTGAACGACGCGGGTTCGATTCCCGCTTCAGCGACTTTTCGGACCTATATTTTTCTCGTCTATTTTTCTCCATATGTAAGTTCGAGATTAATTTATATATGGAACTTAGTAATCTCAAACCAAGAGATACAGTTCCGAAAAATTAATTTTTCGCGCTTGGGCTCTATTGGCCGATTTAAAATTCATATATTATTATTATTATTAATATTGAGAGCCGACATATATTTCTTATCTGATTAACAATAATTATTTATTTATAAATTGTTTAAATAATTGAATTTTGCAATTTGGATAGTAGATTCGTGATCAGCGACCCCAAAAACCCCACAGTCAAGAATTTCAGGTCAATTACTCGATTTTTTAAATTTTGTTCAGCTTTTTTCGATTTGGCCATATTGTGATTTGAAGTAATTTCAACCTCTAATTTTGGGTAACTTTCGAAAATTTTCAAAAAACTAAAAGTGATGCCTCTTTTCATTTTCGATGACGATTAATTTGAGACCTGCTGAACCATTTTATGTTTTATCCTAAGCTCGCTATCCAAGTTGCAAAAACAGGCTAATTTTGCGGTCACTCTTTCTTATAACAACAAATAACGAAGTAAATCATGTTGACATTTTAATACATACAGTCAAGCGCTGCCATGTAGGTGAGGTATCGAGGGAGTTTCGCGAGAGAGGAAAAATCACAGAATGATGTAAGTAACAAAAACAAAATTTCTTCTGGAATTTTCTTACTCCATCTAAAGATATAGAATTCTCAACGTATTTTATAACAAGAGAGAAATAATTAATTATCTATTTCTTGTAACAATATCTAAAAATATTTATCTATTATGCTTATATTGTGCTTAAATGCGCAAACGTCGAACAATCTACTTAATCAGTTTTAAATATAAATATGATATTTTAAATCAGCCAATAGAGCCCAAGCGCGAAAAAATTAATTCTTCGGAACTGTATCTCTTGGTTTGAGATTACTAAGTTCCATATATATATATGGTCGCGTGTCGCTTCGTCGCGGGAGGCGTGGTGGGGGAGATCGCGACATCCCGCGTATTGTATAAATAATATGAAGATTAACAATGCAATCCATAATCTTTCGATTACTACAAGCGTTAAAAGGACAATATGGCAACGTATACAAACAAAGAATATTACGACATGTTGATGGCACTTGGCGAGTGTCACGGGCAGTACCACGTACCTACAAGACGATGCGCCGAATTATATTCACATCGAGCAAAACATCCGTCGGCCTCTGTTATACTTCGCACGGCTCAACGATTACACGAAACTGGCAATGTCCTTCCAAATAAACACGATATTGGAAGAAATCGTGACGCAAGAAATTTGCGAAACACAGAGCGAATTGTACGCGCTTT